TTTTTTTTTCTTTCCTTGCTATAATAATATAAACTCAGCAAAAGCTAATAAAATCACGCAACTAAGCCCATTCAAAGAATGCAAATATGTAATGGTTTATTATCAAAAAGTAAACCAGGCAGAGAGAGACCGTGATATAATCAACTCCACATCCAATCTTCTTTTCAGACTCTGGATGATAAGGAAGCAACCTTTCTAGAATTGTTCTCTCGTGTTCAGGACTTAACCTGTCACCACTTTCATATCTGGAAGATAAAGAAAGAAAATTTGAGTCAACAAAATGTGATTGACCAAAATTGTCTACCATATTTATGCAATTTGACCAGTTGGGGTAGGAAATATTAACGATCTCATAGGTGTATATCAAATGCCCATGTAAGATAAGCTGCAGATTGCAGTGTAATCGTACAAGTTACAATCACATGTCAAGCTCATGAACTGGAAATAGCTACAACTAATGTTGTTAAAGTTATAATTCAGATTTTATGATCCCATAATCAAAGAACAGTAAACTAATCTCAGGCCCTACCAAAAGTCATACCTTCCGTGCTTACATATCAAATTCTTTGTCCTTTAAAACTTGAAAGAATGTACCCATTTATTTTGAAAAGCACCCAAGGCATACACCTCAAGGCATTCTTCAAGTGAGGCCTTCATTAAGCATCTTGAAGCAGATACCCTTGAGTACCATTTGTCCAAACTAACAACTTGGCTTACCGGTGCATGGCTTAAGTCATAAGCCTCTGGGAGGTTGACGTACGTGCTCATTTGTCTAGCTCTTTCTGATCTTTGTATCGTCGGCCTTGATTGACCCAAACTTTATGGACTTACCATTTATAGTTGGAATGTTTTAAGGTATTTTTGAGTACTTTAATCACAACATAACCCTAATGACTTTAAAAAAAAAAAGAATTTTGAGAAGAAAGAAAAGAGCGAGTATGCCCAGTCCTAAACTGAAATGTAAGAAAGCCCTTTTTCCATGTGACCTTTTCAGAAACAAAATGCCGGTATCAAAAGACTACCACATGTAACTTCGCTATGTTCTTTCTCTTATATTTTTCTTGCTATTGTGTCTGTGATTTTCCTTTTATAGGTAAGGGGAAAGAGAAGGAAAATGCACCATTGCAAGTAGACAACAAGGAAAAAGAATAGGAAGAAAATAATAGTAATTAAGAGGATGGTAAAAAACCAAATGCTTATGATTTATAGAAGACTTATATTTAGGTTTGTCCTAGTAGTGGATTATGATCTATTATTTGATAATATATTGATCTACTGCAAGTTAGACTTTATAATTCATATTTCTGTTAAATTGTTTTATCATGTTTTATTATGAATTTTCAAGATGGTTTATGGTTTATTACGGGTATACATTTGTCTTATAAATTTTTGAATTACTTCATTGGTTTGTGCTAAAGCTTATGCCTTCCCTCATGCAAGTAAAAGATTATTGTCTGTATCAAATTTTTTAACAATTAAGTGGTTCACACATGATATAATTGTTCTTTCTTCGTTGGTGGGATCCACAATTCTTAACCATTCTTTGAATGATTCAATGTAGCCCCGAATTCGATAAAACTTGGCTTCAACATGATTTTCAAGCAATCAATTTAACAGCTAATGAGTCTTCTGCGCAATAGCCACATATTTAGCCCCCGTTCGACTCCCATTTTTTGGAAATGAAAATGGATAGAATGGTATTTTTTTATTTTTTTTAAATGAGCGGTTGAAAAAGAAAAAAAAGTTTTGATTTACATGTAATATTATTTTATGGAAGATTGTGTCATTAAAAATGAGAGAGAGAAAAATGGAATGTAATGAAATGTAATTTAATGAAATTCTGACGGGGGCTTAATGCCATAATCTGTTAAACTAAGGCAAAAAATGCAAAAACAGGTATGGGTTTCAAATAATACAAAAATATCAAATGTCAAATTAGGGATTCGAAGAAAGCTTTGATCTAACACAGGAAATGCTGAATACTTTAATGAGACACCTAGGCGGTTAGAGTTTCAAAGTCAGCACTTGTCAGGATTTTGCTCAATTCAATCTCAGTTTATGAAGAAAATATCAATAAGAGTTATATTCATCCGGAACCAAACAAGAAGGGATTGTGCATTACATACCAAGTCCAAAGTTAGTCAATTAGGATTCATAAATGAGGACAAGATGCTGTTTCAGTGCATAAAAAAGTGTAAGTGCTTCCTAGAATAGTACATTTGGGACAATATGCACAAGTATAGAGACAGGCATGCCGCGGCTTAAAGGCTTGTTAAGTTATAAATGATGTACAAACAATCTCAATATAGTTTGCTGCACATATCCACCTAGCTACTGAATAAATGAAGACCAGCATCTTGGGGAATCTAGCTCTATCTCCATGACAATAACTCTCTTGTTCCAACCTTCTTCAAGAATTAGGAAATCAGACTTCTAAATCTGAAGACCACAGAAGAAAGAAGCAGAACTAGCAGTGTCTTTAATGTTGCCAGATGACAAAAATCTGAACAATTTCAACTCCAACAAAATCTGCTTTACCTCCAGCTTCTTTTCACCCTCCATTTGGTCAGCCACAAGCAGAGACTTAACAACATTCCAAATATCAAACATACTCGCACTTTTAGGTTATAAATTAGTAGGATTTCCAAATATTTTAATATCTGCAACCTAAAAGATATGTACTTGAGGTCAGTCACCACGGCATGGCAATTGAGTTCCATGTTTTCATAGTATATGACAAAGTCTTGTCCACATAACACCAGAAAACTTTCTTTGGGCCATCAGAACCAAAAGGCTTTCTTAACATCCACACCTCTCTAGATAATTCAGCAAGTAGAAATGACCTAGATTCTTAACATAATCCTATCATTTCACCACAGAAACTCCAGTTATAGCAAAAATGTTATTGTTTCAAATAGATAAATAACAGAAAACCTACTTAATATAAGAGAAAAGAAACAAAAGTCATACACATACAGAAATAATCAAAGGAAAAACTTGAGGACCTTACTTTCCAGAGTGAAGAATCATCCTCACAAAGCCTACAAGAGGCACAGTGTCCTCCAAAATCTGGTCTTCCCAATCCACCCACGTATCACCGTCTCCACTTTTCTTCTCAGTTTCATAATCCGAATCGTCCTTCGCTGACTCTCCATCACCATCACCTCCATCAAACGGCGGCGAGACCACTGGCTTCCTCAACATATCCGAAGCATAAGACTGCGAGTCCTGCCCGCTCCGAACCACACCGTCATTCGAACCAGTCTTGATTGCGCAACAGATGCACAAGTGAGAGCTATTCAATGGAAAATTGATTGAGAATGGTGTTAAAAGCAAATTTAACGAGATCGGTTTTCTGTGGAACAAATGAATATTCGGTAAAACTGAGGAAGCAAAAGAAGCCATTTAAATGAATTAAGTAATTTATATAATCATTTTCTTTCGGTTCGTTCTGTAATGGGAAAGCGATTGGACAGGAATTGCAGCTATCTTCTTCACTATGAACTTTAGCAGAGATGCAGAAGAAGAAGAAGAAGATAAAACACAAGTCGGTAACGGCAACGATATTTAGGATTTTAGACGGCGTTTGTCCAAGTCAGTCAAATTACATTTCTTTTCTTTACACTCGTAGGTTAATTAGAAATTTCCCTGCCAAAATGGGAAGTAATCGATTAATATCACATATTTCTTGGACAAAATGTATACTTTGAAAATCCGACTCGAGAAACATAAAGGTTCTAATCGAAATGAATTGCGGCTAACACGAGACTATAATATATTGAAAATATAAAATTGGAATTTTAAGATGAACTTATTGATTGTTTATATTAACATGTTCAATCACATGACACAAATTAAAAGAAATGAGAATACAACTAGCCTAACTAACCGAATTATCATTCACATAAGCATTGAAAGTGAAAACATGGGTGGAACACTTGCGTGTTTGATTATGTGAAAATCACGATATTCTCTAATATTACTTAAGCCATAAAGAGAATTAGTTAGATAATTAGAGGCATCTGAATCTAAAATTCTAGAAGTAGATGAAGGATCGGTACTTTGGAGGCCAAATGCTCAAATTGCACTCATAATCATTTTCGACATGTCTCTACTCTCTTGAGTTAGAAAAGGTGTTGGAGGTTGTAAAGAAACAATAGAAATTGCAACAGTCGCAGTAGGATTAGCAGGTTTTAAGGCAACAAAAGTAATAGCAGCACAACAAGCCTTGTTTGAGTGTGAGGGACGAATGTGACCCTCCTTAATAATGTGTCATGGCTGCTTGCAGTAGTTACAAAACTTATGAGAACAAATATGGTCATATTTCTTACAACTATAGCACCATGTGGTGCTCATATCCCGAACCTTCCCCTTGCCATCATCAACATAGGCATCTAACACAGTATTAAAAGCAACGTGTGTATGCTCTATAATATTTTGAGTACGAAGACATTCCTTCTCAAGCAAGAGTTCTCCTAAATGTATCTCATATCTACCTAAAATTATTCAACACATATCTCATATCTGCCTAAAATTATTCACATATCTCATTTTTTGTTCAGAGGTTCTCGCCTCGGCAAAGTGGGCTGGCTTTAGTCACGTTGCAAGGCGGCTCAACTTTAAGGCCACGGCTAGTATGCATGGTGCTTAGGTTTGAGTGACCCGACAGCTATGGTGGGTCGGCCACGTGTGGCAAGACGTAACATTTTTCAGGAAAAACTGTCAATCAAACGCCTCAAATATAGAAATTTGAATAAAAAATGAGTTTTCATAGAAAATAAAGTTAATCAAACAAACAACATGATCAACGATTTTTCAGCTTTAACAAGTCAGCAATACCAAAGAAAATTCCTTCAAAAGGGAAAATTAAAATTAGAGTCAATATTTTAACTCATAACTATATTCATTTTCGAATTGAACAACCATAAGACCCTCGCGCATGGGGCTAGTCTAGGACCAGATGTTCAATTTCCCTACTTTAGTCAAAACACCTTTCGGGAAACGAATTTTGACGGGACTTTGACCTAAAATCCGAGCCATATAAATACAGGATAGCATCCATCCCTGATAAACCTCTCATACATTATTTTTCATCCATAATTACAATTAAAGAAAGGCCAAATGATTATTCTTTTTGGGAAATTAAGAGGCAATTACAAGATTTCATTCAATTGAAAATTCAACCTTGATTCTTGAGAAAAATAAAATAAAAAAGAGAGAGAGAGAGAGAGAGAGAGAGAGAGAGAGAGAGAGAGAGAGAAGGGGCAACTGAAGATTCATGAAAAAACCATTGAATGAATTCAAAATTTCAAATTGATGTATCAACAAGCTGGGTGATGTTTTGCAATTTAAACATGATTTTCTTGTAATTTTGCAATGTTAGGCTAAGTTTTTTATTTAGCCCTCGTCTAACATTTTTGCTTAGAAAATGTATTATAAAATAGAGATTTTTTTGGAGGATGCGTTGTAGAAAATAAGAAAAAGTTTTCGATTTACATATAAAATTATTTTATGGAAGAATGTGTGGTTAAAAATGAGTTTTTAAATAATGAGTTTTCGAAAAAATAGGGACCAAACATAAGTTTGCTAAGACATAGATGAACCATCGTTATAAAATTTTAATACTTTGACGTTCAATATGTGTTTATTCTTGAATATTTTTTATAGAACTTAATGATTTTCAATTAATTAGTTACTAATTGAATTATTGTGTGAATTTTTATTGTTATCAAGAGAGATCGACAATAGGATAAATAGAACGTTATAACAACGACTATGGTTTCCAATAGATAATATAGATATGCCTTTATGTTTTGCATAATTTCAATAGATATTTTAGTTTTTTTAATACATGCTTTCATATTTGCATCTTTAATAGAAATATAAGAAGATCACATAAGACGATATATTTAATTCTGTTCGAAAGATATTATGAATTAACTTAGGAACATTAATCAACAAGAATGATTGTCATGATATTGAATTATATTAAAATGAATTAATAAGGGGATTCGAAGTCTTAGTAATCATCTCATCTAAATTTATAGAAGCTTTCATAATTCCCTCATTAAATTATTTAGCACTTGTTTGAGCCCTATTTTTTGGGCCAATAATGCATTTTAGAATAGTCAATTAATGGAGAAAGTGATTAAACAATAATAATAAAAATTGAATTTGAGTGTAGTATTATTTTATTAAATAATGTGTAGTTGAAAATAAGAAAAAAATTTGTTTTCAAAAATAACAAGGACATTTCAGTTGGAAAATGCAGACAGATGTTTGGGGCAGCAACAAAGCCCGTCTTTCTTAATTTAGCCAAAAACGAGACTTTCACTGGTCCACAAACAAGGGCTTAGTATAATTAGTATAAATTTTTTAAGCAAGTTTGGCTATTCTATTAGAGTTATTATTACTATTAATAGAACTTAGATTAACTACATAGCCATCGTGAGAATGATGCTCTACTTATCACTTTTCACTTGTTCACGATATTGCGCACTGGCGAAATTTCTTATGATCACTTATCAACATGAAATGCTACATTAGTGGCCATTTATGAAATTAACTATTGATAATCCAATAATTATCACAAAATTTACAAAATATCATATGCATATTCAATAAACAAAGAACATCCATCAAATAGGTTGCAGGAGAAACGATTGGAAAAGGATGCAGTTAACAAAAATTATGACGACTTTAGTAAAAGGTAGCGGTACTTTGCTTTCTTTAACAAAGCATATAATTGTCCCGTACCCTCTTGAGTCGATGTTAAAGATGATTCTATTTGTTTTGAAATCTTCCACACTAGCTTGTCGTCAATGACAATGGTATTACGAGATTTCGTATCAATTTATTATTATTATTTTTTTCCACATTTGTCTTCCACTTCTAATAGATTTCTCAAAGTACTATTTGAGTCTCGTTTACTATATTATATTTTTTATTTGCTTTGGTTTTATTAAGAAACTATGTTGGGAGTCCCTTGTTTTGCTCGATTTGTATATCCAATTGGTATCTATTGTTTGGATTTCTTGTAATCTTAAATCAATCGGTTTTTATTCATTTAAAACTTAGTTATTTTACCACTAATTGTATTTGAAAAGTTATGAGTTAGAGTTTTGAAATCCATTATTTTTACTAGTTGGCGCTGTGTATAAATTGACGAAGATTCAAAAATTGTTTATGGTGTAAGACTTAAGGTGCATCCTAGTTTTTGGGGGTGGAATTGCATTATTATGACTTAATTGTTTCAAATTGAAGTTCACTTACTCGATCACAACTATAGTGAAGGTTTAGTAATCAAATTGCAATTATGGTGAGAGTTCAGTGACTCCAATGTTATTTATCTACTAATTCGGATGTATATGTTTGTATTTTGTTAGGCAATAAAGCGATGAGCACGGGAAAACTTTAACAGAACTCATACCGACACTGATGTGACAAAACATGATTGGACTTTTTTTTTTCTATCTTTTAATTATGTCATGCCACGTGATGTCTATAAGATTTTTCTGTTAAAAAATTTGTACCTGTAGCATAGTTCATTGTTAGACTTGACAGACATTCAACTAATTAGGCACAATAACATAACACATGGTCACCAATTATTTTCAGATTAAAGTTAAGTGACTTGATTGCAGCTAGGATAAAGATTTAGTGTCCTCTAGCAATTAACCCTATTACTAACGGATAACTTTTAAAGTTCGCAAAAACAAGGCCTAAAAATTAATTTTTAGGACGTATTCCACCATGGAGACTATCCCATTCTCCAGGAGATATACCAGTAAATCTTGTATGGCTTACTCTTTTAAGGAACAAAATGATACATATCGACAGTTTCTTCAACTACAAAATCTTTGACTTATCGCCCATTTTCTGGCAATATAGCAAGAAACTTACTCGGACTTGAAGAGAAAAGATTGTCTTTAAACTCAGATTCAAAGTCTTTGTAAATATTCCATATATTTTTGGGGAATTTTCAAAAATGTCACAAAATTAACAAGGTCCCCAAAAGTTGTCATTTTCACTTTATGTGAGCAAAAATATCACT